CGGAATTCAGAGAGGTTGTAAATGGCATGGTGGTGGTAATAAAAGGGCTATTGGAGGCAAATGCAGCTGCTGATCGGACGGAAGAGCACAAAAACAATCCCACGAGCCTTGGAAGGGACATGCTAGAATGGACCATGGTCTTGGATAATTGAATAAGGCGAAGGGGTAGGCTTGTCGACTTTTTCAAATTTGGCGGGTAGCACTCTTCTCTGATGAGAGATCCTTGGACTGTTTTGTTTTGTGGCAACTCCAAAAACAACGAAGAGGAGACGGATGAAGCTGAAGTTGCATTGGTTGGTGGCAGGTTTCGCTTCCGGCCCTTCGTTTTTGTTCATGACTGACGTCAGCGTTTCAGTCCGTAGTGACGCAGGATAAGTGTTCAAATCTTTTACTCGGGACTCTATCCAACAGCAAGCAACAAACACATCATCGGCAACAGCCCGACGACGATCTTGTGTTGTGTGTCGCCCTCTCTCTCTCTTGCCTATCATCTCTGAACGATGGCGTCCCGCACGTTGCCCAAGCTCCGGCAGGTGGTGTTGAATGATGTATTCACCCAGGCATTTGAACAAGCCAGGCAAAAGCCATTGGATCTGACCCACAACCAGCAGGTACGTCGCCGTCGAAGGATCGGATTTGGATTGGCATCTCGTGTTGTTGGCATCGTTCGAACGGATTTTTTGCAAGTACAAAGCCCGCTAGCTAGCAGCCATCGTTTTGCATTGGTGACTAATATTCCATGATTCGTCATCTGAAATTTGCGTGTTTTTCTCACATACCGTAATAATGCTTCCTTTTTCTACCCCAGGTAGCTCGCCTTTACCGCAAGTCGCTCCGAGTGCTTTTGAGCTGGTCCATCCACAGGAAAACATTCAACGAAGAAGCCACCACGTTGAGAGCACGTTTTGATGAAGCACGGGGATGCTCTCCCGCTAAGGCTGCTCGTTTGTTGAGGGTACGTTTTTATTTATTTTTCCTGTGCTAGTAAGCCACCAAGCTAGCTGCATGTAGCTTGCGCCCTAGGACCGGCACCTCTGAGGAACTCCGTTTGCATTTATTTGCTAAATTGGTTTTGTTCTTTTACGTCTGTATTATTCACAACAGGAGGGCCATGAGGAATTACTCGAATTCACTCACCCCGATCCGTACTGCCTGCCACCCATGCCCGGTGGTTCCAAGCACATGAGGTACTCGCCCCTTCCCAGAGAAATCTGCTTCACCGATGGGAACTACCCCGCCGATGCTCCCGACTATTACATCAATCCTGACTGGAGTATTTGCAAGCCCGAAACCGGAAAGAGTGCCATTGGCAGTGTCCTTGTTGATTTTGGAAAGAAGAACATGGAGTAGACGAGAGGAAGCAAGGAGGTCGGTCTGTGCTTGTGGAGCGCAAATATTATTAGGATCGTCAGTGGAGAGTGGCAGTGCCTCTCTGGTAGCTAAGTAGAGTAGTTAGGCACGAAGGCAGGATCGAGATAACTTAGTATGTCGTTTATTTGTACTTGTTAGACCGTCAGGTCGCTGTCCCCAAGTACCGGTATTACTAGCCGGGACGTCGCGACTAAAGTTATTTCTTCTCCCGGTGACAACCTCACGACGAGTCTTAGCCTAGCCACAGTGAATGGGACCAGCAGGAACTGCTCTTTTAACACCTTGCTCTCCCTGGTCATGATTCATTCCTTCAAGCAACCTGGAGTACCTGGTGTGCTCGATTCGTTTGAAAGCGTTGCTAGACACTACACGTATCAAATAGAAACGAAGGCTCGGCCAACAATGAAGGAACGTACCAACCAGAGAGAAAAAAGAGGACTAGAGCTACCGTTGTTTGCGTGAGCATTTGAAAATTACATATAGCAGGAAACAGTTTATCTAAACTGTGCAACAACTGGGGAAACACCTCCTGAACAACGATAGTATATAATTGTGGTTTTTTGTAGGCTTGCCGATGGAACATGTCATACATGTCACGTTTTTGAAGCAACTCGAGGTTCTAATGATCGGAAGCTCATCGTCCACCGCTCTTTACTCAGGAAAAAGTGGGTTTCCATCACAGTGCCTTGAAGGAGTTATCTCTTTCTTTAGTCGCTGGCCTTCTTCAGTAGTTTATGAGTGTAGACGACTTCTCTGTTGGTGAGTTCCTTGTAGGGTTGCGTTCCCTCCACTCCGGCAAAACTGTGAACGATGGGGTTGTTGCAAACTCTCGGGGACATGCGAGCCGCTTGAATGAGTATGGTCAAATCTATTCTCCGGCCCACTGATTTGGACATGGCAGCAACTACCACACTTTTGGTGATTTGAATCCTCCGATTATTAGTCTCGGATAATAGCCAGACCTTGTCAAATTCCTTTTACCACAACCCGCGTCAGGACGCATCAAGGTTCATGCGAATATCCACCCAAGGACAAAACGGACACAACAAGGGTATTGAGGACACGGTACTACTTCGGAACATCAAGAACTGTCCAGAATTATCTGGGCCATAAGCAATGGGAACAGATTGTACCACATTGCGATGACCACAATCAAATTCTCATTTCTCCAAAGGGCAAGTCTTCGGACATTACCCTGCAAAATAGGTCAACGCCGGGGATGTTTTTGGCGTGTTTTTCTGGTCAAAAAATCGACGGCTTTGGAGGAATAATCCAGACCCGTCATTTTTGCGGGATGGAGATACCGTTTGGTGTAGGAGGATCCACCACCGCGTCCACTTCCCACTTCCAACACATTAAGACCCGTCAAATCTCCAGGAGCCGAAGCAATTTTGTTGTACATTTGGAGGCACCAACGCTCGGGTTCGTCCGAGGCGTCCATTTCAATTTTGGGGGCATCGGGAGAGAGGTCCACATACCCCCAATTCATACAGGTGAGCTCTCCTTGTGTATCCAGACCATCCAGAATCTGATAAAAGGCGTGATTCACAAAGCGGTCCAAGCTTCCGCTTTTGTCGAAACTGGCAACAAAGACAAAGGTGCTAAAAACGATTCGGCCCGCCATAGTCAAGAAAAATCGGAAAAACATAATGCCCACCAGCCCCAATGCCAACATCTTCAAAGTGCACTTTTTCTTCGGCTTGATTGGACCAGGGTCGTCGCTCTTCTTCAATGGAAGAGGGGAAGCTCTGGGGGATGATTTTCTACCGAACAACATCTTTAACTTTGTTATTGGACTATAGTGAGTGGGGTTTTCAAAATAGTTTGTCTGCTCCCTCCAGAAATGAAAAAAATGTGAAACCTGACCAATGACCAAAGCCGTCAGGGATCTTTGGCTCTGATGAACCCGCCACCGACGACAGTTTGTAGAGGTAGTTCAGGTAAACATTTGTCCTGTTATTTACAGCGACTGTATGCAAAAGTTGTTTTACCGCATCTACCTCACAAAGAGCCCTTCAAAATGCACAAAAAGACACTTCTCTGAGTATTTTTTGTCGACGTGCGCGCCGTGACCCTTATCCTTAGAAGGTTCAGGGTACGTGTACTGTATCCCTACTAATATACAACTGTAGTACATGATGAGGGTATGGGGGTGTATCGACTGGTGGGACTTACCCTGTATCATATAGTGAGTTCGCCCCTACTTAGGCCTAAGTATGGTTATCCTTTATTGGGGTATGGTAATACATAAAAGTCATTGAGAGTATTTTGCCGGGGAAAACCAGGCATTTGAGGGTATCCGATACTACTCAAAATAGTACTGTGGGTTGTATCGGCAACCCCAAAATACAACTTTTCTCCTAAGTATCTTTTGGCAATCGTGCCAAAAATACAACCTAGTCACACACATCGTTCCGCGAAACTCAAAGACTTATGGTCCCGGAACCTCTGTCTTTGTACTGAGAGAGCGTAAACCCAGCACCCTCGTCAACTGCTGTATCCCGTATACGCGACTTGGCCGTTGGATGCAGCTGGTTGATTTTTCATTCTTCACCGAATCTGTCACAATTTTCCTTCCAGCCTCCGAAAAGGCGAAGCTATCGCTATTTTGTTACTCGCTACTTCGCCTATTTTGTTACCAACTCTTTGTCTCTCGAGATTGTCGACCATGGCGAGGAAGCGCAAGTCACTTGATCAGCAGTACCGGCCGGCCCTTGCCAGGTTTATGTCTTGGAAGCATGGCCGGCAGACACCGTAATAGAGAAAGCGATATGGTATGCACGGCCGACACTTGTTTTGTCCCAAGTAGCGTCAAACGCTCAGACGTAAGTGTCGCCTTCGTCCTGTACCACCCCTTCGCCAAATTGCAATTCTCGAGAGGACGCCAGACTCCTTGTTGCGAGATACTATATCACACCCTGTATGTGAGCAAGACACGACCGCTCGACTTAGCCCGTTGAACAGGCGCTTGCCGAATTCAACTTCAATCACTCGGATGGATAAATCTCTATCTTAGGATTAGGCCAGGATGATGATTCAACGGAACCATGTTTCGATTTATCATACCTAAGAGATGAAGATATATCACTCACTCATAGAATAAGTACATAACAATGATTCGTCTTGACACCTCAACTGAGATCTTAGGTCACAGTCTAGAGTAATTTTTCCTCCATAGCACTACCTCTCAACTCTTAGAGCTCTGTATCGATCTGTTCAATCGAGTCAAGCTATAACTGTCGTACATGGTCCAATCAACCTCCAGTCAAGCGTCGCAAGACAGAGCCACCTCAGAATGAACACGACTATCGTCCCTATTGTTCAGCACTTAGTAACAGAACGGGAAGATAGAAAGTGAAACAAAAACCCGTTACACCCTATCGTTGTTCATTACTTGACATACAGAGCATCCTAGGAACTATTGGAAAATTGACTCCACAAAATCCTAGCATAGCTACTGTGCTCTCTACTCATTAAGAATCATTGGGGCGTCCATACATTACGGATTGCTTCTATTAAGGAATTGAAACCCTGCACTAAGTGTAAGGGCACACTCGTGATTCTTGAGTTCCACGATGATAGATTTATCGAATGGAATTTACGAGTCACCAAGAACTTGGGGGCGCAAGACATGATCATTGGTCAAGACACTCTCGTCAACCTAAGAATCAAGTGGTTTGTATCTCTCAAAGACTCGTGACTACCATAGATCAGATGAGAAGAGTGGGTACAGCATTGATATTTTTCGGTCTCAGACGAGAGAAAGATGGGCCGAATTACCGTGATAGGAGACGGAAGGACTTCTGCATATTCCAATCGGATCTCTGAAGACATGAGGATGTCGAGCGAAATGCAGATAAGTCTCTCAAGAGTTCTTCGATCGACATACGAACAAACGAGCGCTTTAAGTGTCTACCGCATGTGCCAGAGTCTAGATCAGTTAAATAAGGAGGAGCAAGAACTGTCTCATGCCTTTTCAACCATGTGCTTCGACCCAGTCGATGGTACCTTGGGAGAATTGCAATGGACGACTACGAAGGTGAACTTCGTGCCGCGACAGTCTTGAAACACATCCGTATTAATTCGATAGTGGCACTACACCCGTTCACTCCCCATCCGGTGGTCTGATAACGACATCTTCTTCGCAGTTTACGGTGTGTAATGGTTGAACGTCTCTGCACGGCAGGAGTACTCAAAGAAGTGATTCGTTACCGCGGGATGGTTTGACCAACATGGAGACTTTGGATCTGCGCAGCCACTCCAAGTTTCCAAAAATCGCTCTCCAAACCAAGGTATCCTGGAGCAAGAATGTCCAGGAGGAGCGTGCTTGCCCGAACCAAAACCTGCTGGGTGCCGCTGGACCTGGACTTTTGCGTCCTGGCTCTACCGCACTTTGGCTTATATTCTATTCGCCAGACTCAGAAGAATGGAATTGCTTTGAGAAGGGACCACTGTTTGATTCTCCAAGTTTCTGTTTGGACCGATTACCGTGCGACGAATGAAGAAAGCATTCCTTGCCGCCATCGAGGCTCTAGTTCATCTCTGATGTATCCAGATGGGAGCGAAACGAACGAAACGGCTCGATCACAGGCGGATAAGTCACGTTCTATTACCTAGTCCCAACATAGATCGACGAACGGGAACGTCGTCCTTTGAATCTCAGGAAGTTCGCGATTCAAACGAGTACCGTCTACTAGTCTAGACCTGATCACGGGACACTACCACATGGAGCTGTCACCTCACTCGAGGCAACACTGTACCATTGCACTCACGAGGGGAAAGCACGAGTACCAGAGTGCAAGAGGTTGCCAATGGGACTAAGTAATAGTCCCGACATATTACAAAGGAAGATGAAACCACGCATGCATGATTCTTAGAAATTGTCCGTGCATACGTTGAGGATCAACTCATCCTAACTGACGTCGATCTTGCAGATCGCGGATCTGAATACATCTTAAGAAGCGCGGTAATTGTTACAGAGTAATTCGTGATAGAACGAGACTCATTTGAAGGTACTCGTATTGGGGGCTGAAGCACATCTCCAACGCTCTCGTTTCCGAACAAGTATCCAAGGGTGTACCAATTAGGCAACCGCCTGTGGTATTTATCCAGGTTTGGAAGTGACTTACTTTACAATCTACTACTTGCAGGGGAAACAACTTCATTACGTGTTATGTTACCCTTTGTGCCTATTGGTGTATCCATCCGTTAAGTCATTGTCTATTAAAAAGAAGTCACATCGCTATCCGTTTTTGGATGGTCAGAACAAGAAGAAAGCATTCCCAACAACAATAAATCCTGCACAGAGGGGCTAATAAACGCAGAGGCGTTACCAACCAAAAAGGGACCTGCAGGTGGCCAAGTTTCAACTAAAACCTGCTAAAACGAGATAAGATTACTCTTCAGTTGATAAGAGTTGGGATATATCTCTTCTCCTCTTTCCGGTATGTGGACCTCTCTCCCGATGCCCCCAAAATTGAAATGGACGCCTCGGACGAACCCGAGCGTTGGTGCCTCCAAATGTACAACAAAATTGCTTCGGCTCCTGGAGATTTGACGGGTCTCAATGTGTTGGAAGTGGGAAGTGGACGCGGTGGTGGATCCTCCTATACCAAAAGGTATCTTCATCCCGCAAAAATGACGGGTCTGGATTATTCCTCCAAAGCCGTCGATTTTTGCCAAGAAAAACACGCCAAAAACGTCCCCGGGTTGACCTATTTGCAGGGGAATGCCGAAGACTTGCCCTTTGGAAATGACGAATTTGATGTGGTCATCAATGTGGAATCTTCCCATTGCTATGGCCATTTTGACAAGTTCTTATCCGAAGTATACCGTGTCCTCAAACCCGGTGGTCAGTTTTCCTGGGTGGATATTCGCAAACCTGATGCGCTGCCGGGTGTGGAAAAAGAGTTTGCCAAGTCTGGCTTTACCGAACTAAAATCGGAGGATGTCACCAAAAATGTGGTGGCTGCCATGTCCAAATCAGGGGAGAATAGATTGAAACTCATTCAACGTCGCGTCCCCAAGTTTGCACAACCCATCTTTCACAGTTTTGCCGGAGTGGAGGGAACGCAACCCTACAAGGAACTCACCAACAGAGAAGTCGTCTACACTCATAAACTACTGAAGAAGGCCAGCGACTAAAGAAAGAGATAACTCCTTCAAGGCACTGTGATGGAAACCCACTTTTTCCTGAGTAAAGAGCGGTGGACGATGAGCTTCCGATCATTAGAACCTCGAGTTGCTTCAAAAACGTGACATGTATGACATGTTCCATCGGCAAGCCTACAAAAAACCACAATTATATACTATCGTTGTTCAGGAGGTGTTTCCCCAGTTGTTGCACAGTTTAAATAAACTGTTTCCTGCTATATGTAATTTTCAAATTCTCTCGCAAACAACTGTAGCTACTGTAGTTCTCTTTTTCTCTCTGCTTGGTACGTTCCTTCATTGTTGGCCGAGCCTTCGTTTCTCTTGTGATATGTGTAGTGTCTAGCAACGCTTTCAAAGGAATCGAACACACCAGGTACTCCAGGTTGCTTGAAGGAATGAATCATGACCAGGGAGAGCCAGATGTGGAAAGAACAGTTCCTGCTGGTCCCATTCACTGTCGCTAGGCTAAGACTCGTCGTGAGGTTGTCACCGGAAGAAGAAATGACTTTAGTCGCGACGTCCCGGCTAGTAGTACCGCTACTTGGGGACAGCGACCTGACGGTCGAACAAGTACAAATAAACGACATACTAAGTTATCTCGATCCTGCCTTCTTGCCTAACTACTCTAGTTAACTACCATAGAGGCACTGCCACTCTCCACTGACGATCCAAATAATATCTGCTCTCCACAAGCGCTAGGTCCTTGCTTCGTCTCGTCTACTCCATGTTCTTCTTTCCAAAATCAACAAGGACACTGCCAATGGCACTCTTTCCGGTTTCGGGCTTGCAAATACTCCAGTCAGGATTGATGTAATAGTCGGGAGCATCGGCGGGGTAGTTCCCATCGGTGAAGCAGATTTCTCTGGGAAGGGGCGAGTACCTCATGTGCTTGGAACCACCGGGCATGGGTGGCAGGCAGTACGGATCGGGGTGAGTGAATTCGAGTAATTCCTCATGGCCCTCCTGTTGTGAATAATACAGACGTAAAAGAACAAAACCAATTTAGCAAATAAATGCAAACGGAGTTCCTCAGAGGTGCCGGTCCTAGGGCGCAAGCTACATGCAGCTAGCTTGGTGGCTTACTAGCACAGGAAAAATAAATAAAAACGTACCCTCAACAAACGAGCAGCCTTAGCGGGAGAGCATCCCCGTGCTTCATCAAAACGTGCTCTCAACGTGGTGGCTTCTTCGTTGAATGTTTTCCTGTGGATGGACCAGCTCAAAAGCACTCGGAGCGACTTGCGGTAAAGGCGAGCTACCTGGGGTAGAAAAAGGAAGCATTATTACGGTATGTGAGAAAAACACGCAAATTTCAGATGACGAATCATGGAATATTAGTCACCAATGCAAAACGATGGCTGCTAGCTAGCGGGCTTTGTACTTGCAAAAAATCCGTTCGAACGATGCCAACAACACGAGATGCCAATCCAAATCCGATCCTTCGACGGCGACGTACCTGCTGGTTGTGGGTCAGATCCAATGGCTTTTGCCTGGCTTGTTCAAATGCCTGGGTGAATACATCATTCAACACCACCTGCCGGAGCTTGGGCAACGTGCGGGACGCCATCGTTCAGAGATGATAGGCAAGAGAGAGAGAGGGCGACACACAACACAAGATCGTCGTCGGGCTGTTGCCGATGATGTGTTTGTTGCTTGCTGTTGGATAGAGTCCCGAGTAAAAGATTTGAACACTTATCCTGCGTCACTACGGACTGAAACGCTGACGTCAGTCATGAACAAAAACGAAGGGCCGGAAGCGAAACCTGCCACCAACCAATGCAACTTCAGCTTCATCCGTCTCCTCTTCGTTGTTGGAGTTGCCACAAACAAAACAGTCCAAGGATCTCTCATCAGAGAAGAGTGCTACCCGCCAAATTTGAAAAAGTCGACAAGCCTACCCCTTCGCCTTATTCAATTATCCAAGACCATGGTCCATTCTAGCATGTCCCTTCCAAGGCTCGTGGGATTGTTTTTGTGCTCTTCCGTCCGATCAGCAGCTGCATTTGCCTCCAATAGCCCTTTTATTACCACCACCATGCCATTTACAACCTCTCTGAATTCCGTCAAATTTGCCAAATACGAAGGTCTCGGCAATGACTTCATTTTGGTCGATGATCGGGACAAGGAAGCCCCAAGTCTGACACCGGAACAGTCGGCCAAACTGTGCAATCGCAACTTTGGGATTGGTGGAGATGGCGTCATCTTTGCCCTCAAGCCTCCTTCGGAAGAATTTGACTTTAAAATGAGAATCTACAACTCGGATGGATCCGAACCAGAAATGTGTGGCAACGGAATTCGATGCTATGCCAAATTCTTGGCGGATCTGGGAGAAGATGGTGAGTTTTATTCATTATTGTTAAAATCTTTTGTTGGGTTGGTTTTTGGAGAAGTGCTTTGATGGAATGGATGGATGGAATATTCAAAACATTCTTTGAGCGTGGAGATTGGAGATTCGTTTTTGATCATCTGGGAGAGCGAACTTCTCACTTTTCTAAATTGGTTCGTTGTTTCATTCACAGCAAGCAAATACACCATTGATACATTGGCTGGACCAATTATTCCCGTCATGAACGAGGACGGAACCGTCACGGTCGATATGGGTGAACCAGAATTGGTTGCCTCCAATGTCCCAACTACATTAGAACCAAATTTTGAGGGAGACTCCGCGGTCGAACAAACACTCGAATGTAATGGCAAAACATGGAAAGTTTCGGCAGTCAGCATGGGAAATCCCCATGCCATTATTTTTGTCGATGACTTGGAAAAGGATATTGATTTTGAAGTGGACGGTCCCGCCTTGGAGTCACACGAGGCCTTTCCTGCACGCATCAATGTCGAATTTGTCCAAGTCATGGCTCCCGATCACTTGAAAATGAAAGTGTGGGAACGTGGGGCCGGACCAACCTTGGCCTGTGGTACCGGGGCATGTGCCTTGACGGTAGCAGCCATTCGAGCCGGAAAGATCCCCCCAGGTGGCAATAATCGAGTGACTCTTCCCGGTGGTGATTTGTTCATTGAATGGAGAGAATCCGACAACAAAGTGTACATGAGTGGCCCCGCCACCTTTGTCTTTGAGGGAACAGCAAACGTATAAATAGTAGCTTTCCAAAGACATATATTTGCGAAACCACAGGGCGCATTGCCGTCGCCACGGCACACTATTGTACATCTGACTACGGTACCTGCACGGCATCCCCACAAACATAGCAGCTACCGCAGTGCGATTCCTAGGGTTATTTGGGCTGTGATTGCACCCTGGTGTTGGAGACGGAATGGTCCTGGAGTTGATACTGGAGTGGGTCCTGGTGTGTTAAGAACGTGGGAAAGGCAAAGATCTGGGAATGGGCCCAGAAGCAGGCCTAGCTAGTGTTGGAGGTGGAGTGGTTTCTAGTTGGACCAGGAGTGGGTCCTGGTCAGTGCCAAGAACAAGTGTAAGGGATACTAGGTCAGAAAGGGGGGACAGCTATGCAAAGTCTGTGTTGGAAGGCAGCGATACCGGAAAGCAGTATTTCTAGCCATGCAAGCAAGCTGGATGATTTAGCACCAAGCAAGGCCAGCAGCAAATCCTTTGCTGTGTCTTGAGGTCAAAGCCGTACTCCGGTTGAGTACTGCCCTGCTTACCGGTGTGGAGTGCTGATGGCAGGATTTTGGCGGTGAGTGTTTTGACTTTAGTACCGGTTGGGGCAAGGTTATGGTACTAGTATCGCGGGAACACGCAGCCTTGCTGTGTCATTTATAGCTAGCTAGTACGAAGTCCTCCGCGCACACCACGGGATCCTCCCGTGCGGATGTCATGGAAGACTGGAAGATAATCCACAGTCCGTGCCCGTTTTATATCTGAGGTCAAGCGCACCACATGGTTGATATTGGTGCGAGATGTACTTGTACCGCAGTTGGATGGCTGGTAGCTGCAGACAGAAACAAATAAATCAAGGACTCGGCAAGACCAAACAGATTGGTGGTTCATGCTATGTACTACACGCCGAAATGAGCCATGCAGAGTTTGTTGGTGAGTTGCCAAACCAACTCCCACTTCCTCTTTGCCGGAGCTTATGATCTCTTTGCCTGAGTTTCCAAACACGTCCGCTCGCTCTCTTTTGGCAACTAGCAATGATGAGAACCGTCCTTTTGAAGGTTCCATGTTGAACGGAACGCGCTTTTCTACATTCTACATTCGATCTCAAGCAAACCGCTTCGCTTCGAGCTTCACAGTTGCCGATTTGACAAACGTCAACTAGCTCATTTATTTGGCTACCCTCACCCTCTTGGGTGTTGATGACTTTAGCTTGTTGGAGCTGGAGGTCTTGAGCATCTCGAGGCAGCTCTCGAGAGCATCTCTTTTGGCTGTGTGTCACAGTTGCTGAACGAACGTTGAATTTCCTCTTTGAACCTTTGAACTCTTGACTTCAAGGCTTTTTGAGGCTTAATTTGTCGCGGGGTGCTTTTTTTGTACTTAAATTGTCACAGTATGTTCTCTTTGAACTTGTCATGGTAGAACTACTTTGAAATAGATCTAAGGCATAAGAGCTCCTTGGAATAAGAAAGGGATCTCCAAATCTCCACGGTGGACTGCGTTTTTCGTCTCTGTAAATCTATAAATAAATAATAAATAAGCTATAGATATAGACGGTGAGTGATGGTGAATGTTTGTTTTGCGAGTTGCGAGCTGTTTTGCGTTTGGAGAGAGATTGAGAGTCGAGGGAACATGAGGCGTCTGGGGTGCTGTACCTGGTAGCAGAATGATCCATCCAGAAAGCCAAAAGTGAGTCTGAAGACTGTCTGAAGTCTGAAGACCTAGCTAGTAGCTTGCATGCTTGTAGCTAGCTAGCGAGCTATTACAGTACGGGAGGGGACGGAGTTACTAGTTAGTTTTCAAAGTCCGAGAGAATTAGGTCTTCATGAATTCACTGCCACCGGCCAGTTTGTGGATTAGAGTGCTTTCAAACTGCTATATCTAGATAGATGATGTGAACAGTGAACAGGTGAACACAGAGCTGGGTGATTTTGTAACTAAGAAGTTTGAGTGTTTGAGTTGATTTCTATGAATGGTGAGATTTGCTTGGTTGCTTGCTTTGGAGGTCGTGGAGGTATGTATGTGTGTATGATGGGAAATCAAATAAATATCATGGATCAACGTTGGACTGGTTAGCTAAGCCGCTCCAGCCGTCCTGGGAGGCGATAGAAGCGTAGCGTTGAAGAATAAGGACTTGAGGCATTGTGGATCCACACATCGAGGAAAGGAACTTTCCATGTCCACAAGGAGTAGATGTAGTTCCGATTGAAAGCATTCAAACTTGGCAAAGTCTCGTAGTTCATAAAACAGTATGGCGGCATTGTTGAGGGCAGCCGCCATGACACGGCAGGAATCCATGGTGGAATAACAATCTTGAAGCAAGTTGATGGCATCCATATACAGATCGCATGCCACTTGTTCAGCGGTTTTCTTGACACTCTCGTTGGCTCCAATGCTTCTCTGGTGAAACGTAAGGGCGCTGTTAAAGGTCAGAATGGCCCGATAGAGTTTGATGTAATGAGCAGCACTGGGAGATGATTGCCCTCCTCCTTCTTCTCTGCTATTGTCGAAAAAGATGGACAAATCGCGTGGCGCCGTGAACCGAAATGCCTGATTGTAGACAAAGTTATTGGAGTGCTGGCACAAGGAGTGACTGCTGCTACCGGTACTGCTAGTGCTGTGGTTGCTGCCGCAACCGTCCAAGTCATAGTTGTCATTGTAGAGTATGCAGCTGGAAAAGGCCGACACTGGCTGCTGTTTGCGTCTTCGACTGCTGGGTAGCAGCGACAGAGCACGGTGTTGATGTTGCCGATGGGATTCCATGACTTGGGCCATGGTGGAAATGCTTTCCACGGCGCCGATAAAGGTTTCAAAGGCTTCGTGTTGCTTTCCGGATTCCATCAAGCCAAACCCTTTCTCGTTCAGGTAGGCGGCATGGTAGAGGTATTGCATGGGATCTTGCATAATGACGAACTCACGAAATAAATGAGGCGAAAAGATGAATGGGGTGTGCTGTTTGGGAAGATTTGAGGGTCGAGGGGGGATCTTGCGAAAATGGAAGAATGTAAGGTGGGTGTGATGAATTGTCTTGGTGGATGGTTCAGCCTAGCTAGAGCCTAGAGTGTTGATGTGATGATGTAGTGATGTGTTTTTGGATCTTTCCAAATTAATGAGGAGGAGCAGAGCAGTACCTCAGCTCTCAGCTGACCTCGTTACCTCTTCGAGCTACCTCTGGAAGCTGTGAAGACTTCTTCACACAAAAAGTCAAGCAAGATAGCGCATCTCCTTGATCGACAGTTCGACAGTTGCCGAAGGGGTATAAAAAAAGCACAGTTTCACAGAACAGTCATTACTTAAAGATGAGGCACCATCTTGTGAACCTAGTCTGAACTCTTAGTACACAACCATCTGAACCGACAAATAGCAACCGACAAATTCCAATACGCCCCTCACAAATTCCAATACGCCCCTTAGTGCTAAGTACTAAATGCCCTTCGTATTCATTCCATTGCCAAAACTAGGCTCTGTTAAATAGTTTGGTGAAGCGAACTTCTCATAGAGACTTAATAGCTGTATCCAAAATTCACGTTGGAAATTTAGTTTTTTGCGACAAGAGCAAAACCGCTCGTGCCTGGAAGACTGCCGGGACTAGAGCGGTCTTGCCCTCTTTCCAGAAACATTTCCCTCAATGCCAACATACAGTAGCTAACTCATGATGCCTTCATAGCTTCTTCATGAAGCTTCGCTGAAAAGTACCAGTGGAGCCGTTCGAAACGCATTAACTGCATGTGGCAACTGCTTCCGTAGAGCCAACAGTATTGTACATATGATCGATGGCATTGACCAGAGAGGGCATCCATTGGAGGCTGCACAGTGATAGTGGGTCTGTGACTCTGTGACTGTCTCTCGACTCTTCTGTGACGATCGGTGCAAGCTCTATCGCGCCATCCTGTTGGGAGCCATCCAGTTACTCTGGAGTAGTTTGCAGCCATACGAAAAGAGATAGGGCTTGCCGTTGGCGGAGCTACTCTGGAGCAGTTTGCAGCCATGCAAAAAGTGTCGTTTGGTGTCCGCCAAAAGTGCGTCTGCGTATGAAGTGCCGCCCCCCACCACCTTGCTTTTTTTTCGCAACTTTGTGTCTAGTGAGTTGCGCCTGGCACAAGTGCCGTTGCCAAAATCAACATGCCTTCCGTTTGCTTTGGCCACTACGTAATCGGCTGGCTGTGATGTGCGTATTATTACGACAAAAAGTGCTGGCTACTCTGATTGTTTGAAACTAGTAGCTCCAACCGGCTTGGCTGCTCCGGTTCGAGCGATCTCGCGTTGATTCATCATTCGATTTATTTGTGTGGGAACTTGCTAGGAAGTAGGCTATCGATAGAAGTATCAATCGGAGGAATTTAGTATCAAGCAAGGCTGAACCAAGCACGGCGGTGGCTGGGCTTGACCTGGTCTTCAGCGTGCAACCACTGCGAATCGTTGGCTAGGAGTTCATTTAGGAATTTGGAACCGGATCGCTCCGTATTGCCCCTAACAGCTATACATGTACACAGCGCCATGAGTCCATCTGCCTGTGGTTTAGTACTGAGTTGTTGCTGTCGATGGTATTGCTAGCTTGGTGGTTGCCAGAACCTTACTCGTCTGGTGGTACAATAGAGGTAACGGGCAGTATAGTACTCTCTGCCTAGCGTGTCACAAGTGAGAATGGATCCTATCCATGTACAGTACGGGAGCACCGTTTATGCATGGACGAAACTAATTGAGTTAACCGTGCAGCCTGGTCGGATTGGTATGTGGGCTTGTACCGGTACCAAAAGGCGAAAGGCGATGGTCCATCCCCTAGCTAGCTACGGTGTAGTACCAGGTACTAGCTTGTGTAGCATGTTCGTCTTGGTGGCGCGTTGTGGTTGGTGGTAAGCCTGCGAAGCTGTCTGCGACCAGCTATAGCCAACTCCTGGTTTCCTCTTTGCCTCTGCGGTATCTATCAGAGGCGACAACCAGACAGAGGAGGTCGGAGCAAATGAGAGCTTGCATGGTCTCAAGGATGAACGCTCAGGAGGCCTAGACTGTATGGCACTCGGGGCAAAAATTGCTTGCTCTCTCTGATTGCCCACAAATTGCTCCTATGATTCTACATGTACATGTATGGCTGCTCAGTTTAAAAGTGAAAAGCAAGGGTACCAATATGCTCAAATCTTCTGGGCACGGTCCAGACGAGGAGAGAATTGCTCTGCTCTCTTAATGGGGCACCGTACAAACAAAGAAAGCACAGTGTATCAGTAGAAGTGTGTACCTGGTAGTATTATCAAAGAAAGCATTGTATTAGGGCAACATAACCTGTCATTAGGTAGCTAGTAGTACACCATGAACAATGAAACTTCATGCAGCAGGTTAAAAAAATAGCTAGCTAGAGAATGCAAAAAGAAAGAAAGAAAGAAAGAAAGTACATGTATGCATACTCTAGCTAGCTAGTACTGCATCAACTACTAGCTAGCTAGACCAGTCATTCAAAAGTACCTTTACCTCTAGCCCTATCTTCCGTGGTAATGAGCAAGTGGGAGCCCCTCTAAAGCTCGTCCCCTCCTTATGAGGCCTTATCGTCAAGTCCCCTTGAAGCCTCGATGTCAAATTAAGTCAGCGGGAGCTGCGATACCTCGGCAGAAAGACAGATAGAAGAAGGAGGATCATGTTCGAGATTGCACCCATCTTTCAAGCCAGCCCTGGCGACAACACCCGACTACGTCGTGTGTTGCCGCCCGGTATCATTCATTCCCTCATTGCAACCTTCTTTATTAAGCTAGCCCTGGCGACAACACCCGACTACGTCGTGTGTTGCCGCCCGCTACTCTATAATTTACCAGCTGCCATTCCCTTATTGTAACTCTAACCTTTACAACTCCTGCTGGCTTATTGTGCTGTTGTGCTGATTGCACTAACCATAAATATTAATGATTTATTCCTACCCCTAACTTGTATTGAACCATCAATGTTCAGTTTTGTTGGCTTATGACTGTCTCTATCCTTATACTTTGGCTTCACCGGAATAGGAAATAGGAAATAGGAAATTCGGCTTTTTTTCAGCTTTGGTCTCCTGTTTCCTCAGTTTGCTCGCTACTTGGATCCAGCCATTGTATAGCCAGCTACGGTACCTACCGAAGGCAGAGAGTTACATCGATCCGTGACAGTGTCAACAGTACCGAACACACTCAGGTTCCGCTTTACTGGCTACACTCCGTTACCGGTACCTTGCATTGAATCCTTATGACGAATACATGCACAACCGAACATTGTCAATCTAGCCATCGTAGCCAGTTACAGTAGAGTTCATCGATCAGTGACAGTGGCAACAGTGCCGAACACACTCAGGTTCCGCTTTGCTCGCTGCACCCGGTTACCTCGCATTGGATCCTTATGACGAATACATGCACAAAACCGAATATTGTTAATCCAGCCATTGTAGCCGGCTACCGTACAGTTACATCGGCGACAGTGTCAACAATACCGAACACACTCAGGTTCCACTTTGCAGGCTACACTCCGTTGCCGGTATCTTGCATTGGATCCTTATGACGATAGACTACATGCACAACCGAACATTATGAATCCACCCATTGTAGCCGGCTGCGGTATAGCTACATCGACGACAGTGGCAACAGTACCGAAAGTTCGGCTTTGCTCGCTACGGTTACCGGTACCTCGCATTGGATCCTTATGACGAATACATGCACAACCGAAGATTGTCAATCCAGCCATTGTAGCCAGTTACCGTAGAGCTACATCAATCGGTGACAGTGGCAACAGTACCGAACACACTCAGGTTCGACTTTGCTCGCTGCACTCGGTTACCTCGCATTGGATCTTTATGACGAATACATGCACAACCAAATATTGTCAATCCAGCCATTCTAGCCAGCTGCGGTATAGCCGTATAGCTAGTGGCAACAGTACTTGACTTGCGCATACAGAAAAATGGGTACCGACACAAGAATCACCACCAAAACAGTAGGAAATAACAAGAAGGGATGAATCCGGTAGGAGGATCCACTCTCTTGTTTGTTGTCGAGTAGCTAGCCTTGCTCCTGTTCCCTTTCAATGAGTTGACGACGATCCGTTCATGCTGTTGGTAGGGCTGGAGTTAACAGTTTCCTCCGTACACACACCTCCGTAGCGGTAGCCTCTTCTTCCTCGTGTTATTCGGAGCGATCAATCGTTGGTTGGACCGCGACAATGGTAATTCATCGGCCGTCAGCAGTACAGCAGAGAAAACAACAAATAGATATGAGTTTTGTTTTCTGTGCTCAACTGCAGACGACCGGAGACTTACCATTGTTTTTCAAATTGCACCAACTTGGCCGTCATGGGCCGAGAACTGACTGCCATCCCAGGGTCCATAGGATTCAATGAGGGATGGCTTTCTGTTCTGCACCGGAGAAGGACGGCTTGAGTGAGGCCTGGATAACAGAGGTGCGACCGATTCGATTCGAATAATTAAAACAACTCACCTGTTGACGGCCGAGCTCGGAATTCTCTCTTGTTTGCCATAGCAATTCAATGAGGGAGAGAAGTCAGCGCTGTGCCTTCAAAAAAGGCTTGATGGACGATTGGATGGAATCGAATGGAATCGAATCCTCTGTAATTCAGTTTAGCCTTAACCTTAGTAATTTCAACGGTTCTTTTTATCCACGAATCGCACACACATGTACAGACGTTAAAAAACGTTAAGTACAGGTTTGGTACTTACGGATACACATGAACGTTGATTCTGCAACTGAAGTGCCGGTACTCTAATTTACGCAGTAAACGCCGGCAAATCGATTTGGGAGTGCAACTGAGGGGGAAACCAAAAGGAGCGTGGTCTGGGAGACCAATGCACCCCCAAACAAGAGGAAATAGGAAATAGGAAATAGCATTTTAAAGGGGTTGAGAACTCAGGCAGTTTACCTGCCGAGGTA